GATATGTGTATAGAGATGACGAAGATGATGATGATGATAGTGGTGGTGTGGTGTTCGCATGTTTGTATGTGTGCTTGTGTGTGTGTGGTGGGGTTGTGTGCCGTGTTTGTGAAGGGCGTGACGGCGGGGAGGAAGACTATGATGGGTGAGGCTATTGGTAGCTATAAGGTGAGGTGAGGGGAGGGGAGGGGTGTGTAGGATGATATGTGTGTGTGTGTGTGTGTGTGTGTGTGTGTGTGTGTGTGTGTGTGTGTGTGTGTGTGTGTGTGTGTGTATGTGTGTGTGTGTAACAGTGGGTGGCAAAGGCTTGACACCTTCCCTTCCCTCCTCTTAAACCGTGATGAACACTTTCTTTACTCTGTTTTCAATACATGCTAGACCGGACGTGGTGGCTGGGGCTCTTGAGACGGTGCTTAATGTGTTGATCTAGCATATCTCTCTCTCTCTCTCTCTCTCTCTCTCTCTCTCTCTCTCTCTCTCTGTGGCTTCTTGACGGGAGGCAGTATTTGTTAACTTTCTCTTTTATCTATCTATCTATCTTTTCTATATTTTTCCCAGAGATAATATTTGTTTTAACTCTCTTTCTCTCTCTGACACACACACACACACACACTGATGTTATATATACTTACTCTACAACACTTATGATGAAGAGACATTTGGAGGATTGTAGGTGTGGTTGTAGGTGTGTTTGTGAGGCGGTGTGTCGTTGCCTGCTACTTCCTCCGCTATGAATTTTCCTTATGCATACATACGTAGATACACACATACATAAAACACATTACATACCTGTACATACATACATACACACATAAAACACAATACATACATACATAAAACACAATACATACATACATAAAACACCATACATACATACATAAAACACAATACATACATACATAAAACACAATACAGACATACATACATACATACATACATACACACACAATGAGTCTCCAATCTTACTTATGTGACGACGTAAGTTGAACACGGCTTAATAATCTCCACTAACTAGATTAACCACGTCTCACGCAGCAGCTACATAAACCACGCACTTAGTTTATACACTTTCATTCTACATAAACTTGGAGTAAACAGTGCCAGTTTTTCCTTCTACTGTAGAATAAAGCCGCGTTAATGTGGAAAAAATCACCCTTCATCTTCCAAGGATTAGGTTTGGTTTAGTTTGGTTTGGTTTAGTCAGGGTTAGGTTTGGTCAAGGTTAGGTTAGTGTGGATTAAATTAGTGAGTACGTAAAACCCACACACTACAAACAAATAAAAAAAATAACAAACCATAAACACACACACACACACACACACACACAGAGGCTACCAACATCAGATGATCTCCACTATTGCAGAAGGCGCGGTAGCAGCAGCAGCAGCAGCAGCAGCAGCAGCAGCAGCAGCAGCAGCAGCAGCAGCAGGAGCAGGAGGAGTAAGAAGAGCATAATAAGATCGTAAACGTTGAGAAAGTTTTCAACGGGAGAAACGTAAATGGCGTCTGTATGCTAATATCTTATTGTCTAATTTTCCAATCGGCAAAGACTGTGTTTCTTGCCTCGCGCCGACACACAGTGATTAAGCAAATGCTGATTATGCCAACGACGGAAAACTCGGATAAAAGTTGGTTGGTTTAAAGGTGGACGTATGCAAATGTCTTGTATATTGTCCACTGCTTAAGATATTTTAATTATTGTTCCCCCGCGTTAACTAGGCAATGGATTAGTCAAAGTTGTGTGGTGGAGGTGCTGTTTTTTGTTTTGTGGGGGTGAAGGGGGGTGAAGGGGGGGGTGAGGGAGAGGTTTTCTTAAGGTTTGTCGCTGGTTTTGGGGCCCCCTCAGCACACAGTTGTGGTCGTCCTCTCGCTGTGAACATCACTTATGGAAGTTTTCGCGAGTGATTAATCTTAGTGAATGGTTAGTGTGTGTGTGTGTGTGTGTGTTCCTTATAGTTTCTGTCTTTGTCTGTCTTTCTGTAAGTCTGTCTTACTGATCAACTGTTATCGAAAACTACTACTACTACTACTACTACTACTTTTTTTATATTATAAAATGGCCTCCAGCCTCCCCCAATAGTCACACCTTCGCCACCAACTAATTACCTTAATATTAAATATCCTAATACATAAGAAGCTATCCTACCTGTGTTAAATTAGTTGAGCCGCAGATCAATGCGGCATTCAGTGACTGTAGCCTCATAGTCAACATCTGCAGCAGTTGTCGGAGTTGGGGCAGAAGCTCTCGTTCCCCTGAGGCAGAGCAGAGCCGATCGAAGGAGAGAGAAAGACAGTCGACATCTTATCCAGGCTGTAACATAACTTCTGGGCTGCTGCTTCTGTTCGGAGATCAACTCCGCGAGTCTGGCGTAGAAACATCTTGCACTTGGGCCCATCCCACCAGAGGTCGTGAACACTAGAGGAGTGAAGCTGCCTTGATCAACGTTTTGAATTCTCTCCCCATATGCCCCTCTCTTGTCGTTCTCGTTCCTCCTATGTGCAGCATCGAGAGCTAGGTTACGGTGACATGCGGCCATGGGATCAAAAATCCTGATGTCGAAGAAAGCTCGCTGTCCCCGCGACCAGAATCTTCGAGCACTGACGTCCACACGGGCTTCGTTAGATGTGTTTGAAGTCCTGTGTTGGAAGATCTCGCCATCCAATGGAAGGAGGGTCGGTTCTACCATGACGTCCCGGCAGATTTCCTTCAACATATTTGCTGTGAGATCCCTTACCTCGTCATACCTCATGCATATGAAGCCCCCCTTCTTGCACACCATGGCGTGCTCGCCATCATAGGAAGAGCCACACACGCATTGGGAGGGCAAACCTTCTTCTGGCCGACCGTACCTTAGAGCAATGGCATCTGTAAATTCTTGTTTATTAAGACTGAAACCATTTGCCCTTATCGGTAACGTAGTTAACCAGTTCGAGGCGCCCACCTCCTGCACTATAGCTACTTTTTTTTCAAATTTTCTGGAACCGGCAGCAATAGTTGCTGCAACTTATCATTTTGGCAGTGCTGTCGATCTGTCGTAATGGACCTACGAATCTTATTTACTTCGCTGGTATCCACTTCCCCTGTTGCATTCTGAGCTATTATGTGGTCCGTGAGGGCTGCCGTGAGCTTAAGTGAATTTTGATGTTCAGTGGCAGCAATCTCCTCTGGATTAGTTAGTCCCATCCCTCCCAGTTTGGTGGAAGTGCAAGAAGTGCTCTTTCTGCTTGGGTTAAGTCAGGGTGTTTCACTAGTTTGGGAATGAACTTGACACTGATAGCTTCTTCCAGAGGGTGGAGGAGGGGTCCAATCTCAGGGATGGTACGCATCAGGTAGTTCCAGAGATGCTTGACTCCATGGGTGAATGCTGAAAAGGCCGCATGTGGCTCTGTGTTAGCAATCTCAGACAGAGCTTGGATTTCACTAACCCACCCATTCACCTTTCCCGCTACGTACTCGGTCTTGAAGTCCGCAGTGCCAATTACTGCGCCTAGATGTCTTTGGCCGTCCTTAGTTATTTTGACCTCACTTCCGCCAAAAACCTCCAATGCCCGTTCATAATGTTCTGGCTTCACGATGAGGAAGGACTTGCTGGCGTTTGGGTGGTACCCTATTTGTGGACCTCGCGATGTTACCAGGTCCCACCACTTTTTGATGCACTCCACTTTTCCTGCTCCTGTAAGGTCATCAGCATATGCCACTTGTTTGACCTCAGTTGTTTCAAATTTTATTTCTTGTTGGAGCACTGATGGGCCAATTGCATACATTTCCATTGCAACGGGGTCCCCCTGTGTTGTTCCCTCGGTCGACTGTAGGATGGTATCACCTCACCGCACTACTACTACTACTATTACTACAGAGCTTAATACGCATTGCTACTATTATCACCTCTGTTGCAGCTACTACCCTAACTACAACCATTTTCACCTTATTTATAACCACTATCCTAACAACAACCATACTCACCTTATTTATAACCACTACCCTAACTACAACCGTCCTCACCTTATTTATAACCACTATCCTAACAACAACCATCCTCACCTTATTTACAACCACTACCCTAACTACAACCATCCTCAACTTATTTACAACCACTACCCTAACTACAACCATCCTCACCTTATTTACAACCACTACCCTAACTACAACCATCCTCACCTTATTTACAACCACTACCCTAACTACAACCATCCTCAACTTATTTACAACCACTACCCTAACTACAACCATCCTCACCTTATTTACAACCACTACCCTAACTACAACCATCCTCACCTTATTTACAACCACTATCCTAACTACAACCACCAGTTATGTGACTCAGACTGAATATAATCTACAGCTTGTTGAACTAGATAATTGATTCACAAATATGTTGGCAATGTCAGAGAGATGAACGTATACCTGTTTTATCCCGTGATGAAGGCGTGTGTGGCTGACATCATGGGCTGACATGGGCTGATATCATGGGTTGACATTATGGATTGGGATCATGGGTTGGCATTATGGATTTGGATTGACATATTGGGTTGACAGGCTAATATCATGGGCTAACATCATGGGTTGACATCATGGGTTGACATCATGGGTTGACATCATGGACTGACTCGCTAATGTTTCAGGCTTGATGTATCAAGTGGTTTGTTGACTGTCAGTGTAAGTCTTATGGAGGGTAAATTTATTCGAGGAAAACACACACACACACACACATGAAAATGGAAATGAATCCCATAGACATGCCGACTCGTTAGGGGCAGTGTGGATACAGCATACTGCACGCTTGAACCTCCCGGACAACATGGCCGTCACTTGTATACTTAAAACGAAGTACAGTAACACAAACTCAGCTGGGTCGACTATGGGTGACCCGTGGGTGAACTATCAACACTAAGGACCCCCAGTTGTCTCACGGCCGCCCACAACTTCAACCGCGGTTCCTTCAGTGCCGCCCACAACTCCTTCAGGGTTAACTTTGGGTGCTGTGGGTGTGAAGGTGGGTTTAGTGGGCGTGAACGTGAGTACTCTGGTCATGAAGATGGGTATTGTGGGCGTGCAGATGGTGCTGTGGGCGTGGAGTTGGGTACTGTGGGCGTGAAGATGGGTTCAGTGGGCGTGGACGTACTGTGGCCATGAAGATGGGTGTTGTGGGCATGAAGATGGGTTCAGTGGGCGTGGACATGAGTACTGTGATCATAAGGACGGGTGTTGTGGGCGTGGAGACGGGTGTTGTGGGCGTGAAGACGGGTGTTGTGGGCGTGAAGACGGGTAACGCTGTGAGAAGTGGTGCGACGGTGGACAGTTTAGTAGAGGCTGCCACGCACATTTCTCCCCCCTCACCCCCCCCTTCACCCCCCTCACCTCCCCCCCTCCTGACCTCCCCCCTCCTCCCCCCCCCTCCCTCCCCATCTCCTTCGCCCGGGTTGGAGACCGGGGAGCTAAAGGCTGTCATGGAAGAATAGACAGTGAGAAGACATCCTGCTAGCCGACGTGAGGATACTAGTGGTTAATGACTGCCTCTGATGCTGCCTGCCAAAATATTGAAGGGTTCAGAAATATTGTTTGCAGGAAGACGTCTGGCTCTGCAGGAGTGATGGGGTGGGGGTGATGAAGTGAAAAGTAGGGGTGATGGGGGTGATAGAGGTGTTGAGGTGGGGTGATGGGTTGGGGGTGATGGGGTGGGGTGATGGGGGAGGTATTGAAGAGGTAGGAGTGATGGGTTGGGGGTGATGGAATTGGGGTGATGGGGAGGTGTTGAGGTGGGGTGGGGGTTGGGGGTGATGGGGAGTTGGGGTGATGGGGATTATTGAAGAGGTAGGGGGTGATTGGGTTGGGGTGATGGGGAGAGTTATTGAAGAGGTAGGAGTGATGGGGGGTGGTAGGGGAGGGTGATGGGTAGTTAGTGGGGTGTTGGTGAACAAGAAGGGGTAGAGGAAGTGTTAAGAGCTGGGTGAGAGATAGAGGGAGGGAGGGGTGAGGGGTTGGCTAGAGACGTGAGCAGTATATTAGAGTGTGTGAAGGGTGTACAGTGTACACATATACGCGGCTGATGAGAGGAACCATTTATAAAATTTAGTGGACAAAAAGTGTTGTCGTCATCTTCATTTTGATGCAGACATGACAGGTGGCCGCGTGTGGCGCCGCTTTACATAACTCCTTTGTTATCATATTTATAATGTTCATGAATTATATTAATGATGTAGAATTAATATGTGATAATTATGTTACAGAAGAAACCTTCCATAAAATGTTGTCATTATTAATACTATCTTTTTTCTCGTTGCAGGTGACATAATTGGCACAAAGTATGAACTCGGGACATCGTCTGCTCGTCATAAGACTCTAAATCTCTTGTCCTCTTGTCTCCTTATTAAATTACTTTATTGCGCGACAAAAACTCGGGTGTGGGAGCGTGCCGCCGGCAGCCTCGCCACAATGCTCACTACATACACCAGAAATAGTGTTCGTCTGTGCTATTCCTGTTGAGCTCGCCGCCGCCCCATCATTCCATGTGACACACTCGTCAAAAGTGCCAACTTGCCAGCAAAATAAGACATCCACAGTTGTGCCACCTGCACTCCCCGCCCCGCCCCGCCCCGCCCCGCCCCACCCCACCCTACCCTACCCCACCCGACCCCGGCCTACCCCGCCCCGCCCCGCCAGCGTGGCCAACCCTCACGATGACGCGCGTCTCATTATGTTAGTGGTGTTCACATACCTTCACATTATTATTAGTAGTGCGTATTGACCTTGTTTGGCCTCTGTGAAGGAGGTAGTGTAGCGTGAGTGACAGACACGCTCGCGTAAGTCTCAGGTGGAGGGAGAGACTAAACAGTGACACAACTCACAGGCAGAGTGAACATTATAAAGTGGTGGTGGCTCCTCCCTTCCCCCTCAAACTACCCCGACTGTTGGCACATCTCTATCATCTGGCTCACGTCATCACTCACGCCTCTAACATCACGCCGAACAAACTAATGGTGAGTACAACAATAATTACTGTCTTTATCTATGTTTCTTTATCACCAACGACCTAGAATATGTTAGTTTTCATCACTTAACCGGAGTGTGGCCGAGGTGCACTTACCTGGTGTATCGCTGGACAGGTAACTCTTGCTGTTACTGACACACACACGCCTCGCCAGGTTTGTCAAGGTGGGTGACACTCGCCCCCTCACACGACAGTCCTGCGGCAGACTTAATGTGTGTCTGTCTGTGGGCCTGTTGGACATCCATTGATATTAATTCATCCCTTAGGCTGTGTGAGTGTGTTATATTCTTACTGGGAGAATAAATACACACACACACACACACACACAGGTGAAACAAGGCAGCAAAAATCTCGTCGAAATATAAAATAAAAACACCAGGAAAACGACTACAGTATATCTGATGTAACTTAACACTGGAAAAAATGTAACGTATATAGATTAATTATTAATATACCGTGTGTAGTGATTAATGTACCTTATAGAGGTAACATTATTCTTATTGTTATTATTATTATTATTATTGTTATTATTATTATTATTATTATTATTATTATTATTATTATTATTATTATTATTATTATTATTATTATTATTATTATGATTATTATTACTATTATTATTATTATTATTATTATTGTTATTATTATTATTATTATTATTATTATTATTATTATTATTATTATTATTATTATTATTATTATTATTATTATTATTATTATTGTTGTTCATGTTATTATTGTTATTAATATTATTATTATTATTATTATTGTTGTTGTTATTATTATTATTATTATTATTATTATTACTATTATTATTATTATTATTATTATTATTATTATTATTATTGTTATTATTGTTGTTATTGTATTATTATTATTATTATTATTATTATTATTTTTATTATTATTATTATTACTATTATTATTATTATTATTATTACTATTATTATTATTATTATTATTATTATTATTATTATTATAAGAACATAACATAAGAACATAAGAAAGTGGGATACTGCAGGAGGCCGACTGGCCCATACAGGGCAGATCCCTTTCACACCCATCCCAGCACTTCCATGTGCCTATCCAACCTTCGTCTTGAAGCTCTAGCGTCCCGTCCTACTATAGCACTCGGTAGCCTATTCACATATCCACAACTCTATTGTTCCTTTCTGAATCAGTTTATTATTTCATTATTACTTTGAGCTTCAAGAACATCTTCCATTTTACCCTTGTTAATCCCACTTACCCACTTGTGCACCTCTATCATATCTCCCCTAACTCTACGCCTCTCTAATGAATGTAAGCCTAAGCTTTTCAGTCTTTCTTCATATGGAAGGTTTCTAATATTATGGATCATTTTTGTCATTCTTCTTTGTACTCTCTCCAAAGAATCTATGTCCATTCTATAATAAGGACACCAGAACTGAACCGCATAATCCATGTGTGGCCTCACTAATGCTAGGTAAAGTTTCAAGATAACGTCAGCAGTTCTGTTACTCACAGACCTTATTATTATTATTATTATTATTATTATCATTATTACTATTATTATTATTATTATTATAATTATTATTATTATTAATGTTGTTGTTGTTAAGTATTGGAGTATATTGTCAAGTAGTCATATAAATATACTGTTTTTATACTCAAAACCTTAACAACAACACCCCCCCCCCCGACTAAGGTGTTGTTCGGCCATGTTCGCCAACCCACTACAGCGAAACTTTCATCTAATACACCTCAATTTAACGGATACTGTACGTTAAATCGAGGTTTCACATATAACGGACTACCCTCACTCATATAGTCCGTTAGAGGGAGGCACTATACCACTATTATACCGGACCATATTAGCTGTTATTACCACCATCATCATTAATCCTTTGTTGACTGTTTTTGTTGACATTCATATTAATTACTGTATTGTCATTAATTAATTACGTTTCTTATCATCTGTAGTGGGATTGGTTAGGTTAGGTTAGGTTAGGTTACTTTGGTAAATTGTACGCGATGTTTTTAGCCGTGGTGACGTTTTGAGTTAAGTTAGGTTAGGTATGTGTATGTGTGTGTTCTATGTGCGTGTGTGTGTGTGTATGTGTGTGTGTGAATGTAGAAGCTCTGCCAATCCTCCCATAGACTTAGTTCCTACATTAGCGCCTTGATAATGAAAAAAATGAAGAATGTAAAACAAAAATTAACGATGTTTTACATACCAGAGAGAGAGAGAGAGAGAGAAATATATAAGATAATTTACTCTCTCTCTCTCTCTCTCTCTCTGTACACGAAGGTCATTTGAATACAGGGAATCATTGTCGTGGTGCTATCATAACCACATCACACCGTATATTGCTTAACAGTATAGCGATTGGTACATGAATACATTCCTGGGCAACATGTGTTAATAATAATAATAATAATAATAATAATTAACGGTTTATTGAAAGAGCATGGCAGCCGGAAGGCTGAAAATATACAATTACATAATCGGGGAATGGTTCTCTTGATTTACAAATGATGTACAAGTAACATAAGTAATACAAATATGATATATAATAATTAGGTGTTGAAAACTTTTACAATGGTAGCAATCAGTTCGTGCTCGTATGGACTGGATGCGGTTGGGCAGGTGTGTGGCCACGTGGCCAGGACAGTAGCTTGGGGCAATGCAGGTGTGCTCCATCCTTCAGGTTAGGTCAGGTGAAGCCGTGAGGTCAGGTCATGTTAGGTCAGATCCAGCCACAATCAGTATTGCTGTATTTTTGTGCTTTTCCTTCGAGTTGAAATTGTCACTTTTGTATATCACTTGTGAGTTGATCGTCAATCTTTGCACTGTACTGTTGGTGTGAGGATGTTGATAACTCCAGATGGGAAGGAGGAGATGGGGGAGGGGAGGGCCCGACAGACCGGGCTGGCAGCTGTCTCCATGATCAAGAGACCACGGCCGCGTTAGCGGGCAGCGCCGACTACAACGTCCTAACCCTATGAAGGCTGAGGTGTGTGTGTTAACCTAACCTCGTGTGTGTGTGTGTGTGTGATCGTAATTCTATGTGTACGTGTGTAAGCGTTAGAGTAAATGTATACACTCATGTCTGTTTAGGAGGAGAGGCATGGAGATATATACAGGTGTATTTACACTATACAATACATGGAGACACCCGTACATGTGTTTGTAAGAGCTCCTATGTATACACCATCATCTCCGGAAGTTTAAAACAAAAGGATTATTTACACACACACACACACACACACACCTTACAGTGACAACATTAAACCCATAATAGACGCTTCACTTTATCAATACTTTTGTACTACGATTCCAAAAACCAGATCAA